ATGCTTCAGTGCTCTGGGAGTGTTTATAGCCTTGTTAGTTTAACATTTTTTTACTTCAACAGAACCCACAGCAACAATGGCCTTCATCACCATCTTCCTCTGGACACTCCTCTTCACTGTTCAGGGTACGATTTAATACTTATTTAATACTTATTTTTTAACAATATAGATTCTTGCAAATTAGGTGAACAAGGTGTACAGAAAGGTGTGAAATTGCTAAAAGTCTTCAAACATTCTAATTATCAAATACCTGTCTTCATCTGGGCACTCTTTGTCACTGCTCAGGGTAGGATTGCGTTTGGATATTTTAAAGATTTTACAATATTTTTATTTCATGTGGAAAAATAAGGAGTTAAGTTAATTTAGTTGAAAATTACAAAATAAAAAAATGTGAATATCTTTTGAATATATTGTTTCTTGTATGTCTATCATATTGTGTTTTATTGATTTACAGAATGCAATGGACAGATTTCTGTGACTCAGCCTCCAGTAATATCTACTGCTCCAGGGCAGACAGTTACTGTGAGCTGTAGGACCAGTCCTGCAGTGTACAACAATAATCACCTAAACTGGTACCAACAGAAAGCTGGAGAAGCTCCTAAACTCCTGATCTATGGAGCAACTAACCGTCAGACTGGGATCCCAGAGCGTTTCAGTGGCAGTGGATCTGGGACTGACTTCACTCTGACCATCACAGGAGTCCAGGCTGAAGATGCAGCAGATTATTATTGTCAGAGTTTACATTACCCAAACAGTAAATGGGTGTTCACACAGTGTTACACACTCGTACAAAAACCTCCCTCAGCAAGACTGCACAGTGACTGCTCTGGTGCAGCTGGGACCTACTTCAGCTGCTGAGGGTGAAGGCAAAGATACAGGACACAGCCTGTGGAGCAAATCAACTGCACACATACACTGATATTAGTTCAATAAATATGCAAAAATACATTCAGCATGTCACTGTACTGAGAAAGGGAGGCAATATTTTGGACCACTGCTACACAACAGTAAAAGGAGCATACAAAGCGCTTCTGTAAAGGCACAGTTCTTTCCGGACACTATGCGGACAACACAATCCGAAGTAGTGAGGAAACACTGGGGAAAAAGTCATGCAGGAGACGGGACTGGAGACAGGGGGCGTGTCCATGGTGCGCAGGTGTATGGGGAAGGTGTGGCCGATGCAAACAATCGAAAGAATAAATCCATAGGCGAATCCAAGAAACAGACAAAAGTCTATGGCCAGGTGATCCATCCATGATGAAGGATTAAAAACAGGAACTGGGTCGGAACCGGCAAGGGGAACAGGAACAGAGACTTAAAAACATGATGGAGCCAGACGCATCAGGACCCGAGCTCGCATGATATGGGAATCAGATGCAGAGCCCAGAACTGACTGAGTGTCTGGCTTTTAAGGGGAACGGGAAGGAGGCTGTAACAAGGGGCAGGTGCACAGAATTAGGTCCAAAGTGGAAAGAGCTGGAGCGCCCTTAAGGAGGAGGGACTACAATCGTGACAGCTTCCCAAACCGAGTTTCGGCAAGCTGGACCACATCACTCTCCTGTTGCTTCCGAACTAAAAACAGAAGCTGAGACCTCCCCCATTGTGAACAGGTCATTGCGCTGTTGGTCTAAGGAGGGGAAAGCAGGTTAAAAATGCTTTGATTGTACAGACTGGGACGCATTCAGAGCTCCGAACACAGTTTTAAATGAGTATTAGGACGCGGTCACCAGCTATATTAAATATTGCACCGACATTTGTTAACCAGAAAATAAAATTAGGACATTTCCCAATCAGGAACTGTGGTTCAACAACGACATTCACTTTAAAATAAAAGATATATCCATCGCGTTTAAATCAGAGGACAAAGAGCTGTACAGGGAATCACGGTCTGCATTACAGAAAGCCATGAAACGTGCTAAACGTAGCTACAGAGTGTGGCTTGAAATGCAATGCGCTGACATCCAAAGGTTGTGGCAGGGTTTACAGCCAATCACAGGCTACAAGGGCTGCATCCAGGAGATTAACAAGAACAACACATGACGATCTGAACCATTTCTAGGCCCACTTTGATGCTCTGAGCACGGACACTGTCGAGAAGACTCCCAAGTGTACAGGGCGAGTTTGTTCTGTAACTCTCAGAGCAGGATGTGCAGAAGACTCTGAGTCGGATGAAAATCTGTAAGACTACAGGGCCTGATGGGATACCACCCCGCGTCCTTAGGACATGTGCAGCCCAGCTGACCACAATGTTTACGAACATCTTTAACTCCTCCCTGTCGCAGTCCATTGCCCCCACCTGTAAAAAAAAAACAAAACACTATTGTTCCACTCTCCAAAAAGGCAAAAGTGACGTACTTGAACGATTATCACCCAGTAGTATTAAAATCTGTGGTGATGAAATGCCTGGTGAAGCTGGTGTTGTCACACATCAACTCCTCCATCACAGAATCCCTACATACAGCCTTGGATCTCCTGGACACTAAGAACTCATGTGGACTACAAATCAGCATTCAATTCCATTATACCCAGCCAACTGGTGACAAAGCTCAGGGGACTAGGACTGTGCATCTCTGTCTGCAACTGGCTGCTGGACTTCTTAATCGAGAGACCACAGGTGGTTCTAATAGGTAATAAAACATCAATACCACTCACCCTGAGCACTGGCACCCCACACGGCTGCTGTCTGAGTCCAAGGTTGTACTCCCTATTCACTCACGACTTCACAGCAAGACACAGCAACAACAGCATCATTACATTTGTAGATGACACCACTATAATAGGCCTGATCAGCGTTGGTGATGAGTCCATTTACAGGTATGAAGTCATACTGCTGCTGAGGTGGTGTCATAGCAATAACCTGGACTTGAACGTGAATAAACCAAAAGAACTAATAGTGGACTTTCTGAGACACAGGCCACACACTCACATCGCTCTCAGTATTAATGGAATGGAAGTGGAAACAGTCACCAGCTTTAGGTTTTTGGGTTATCACATTTCTAATGATCTAACCTGGACTGTGAACATGGACTTGATGCACTGTCTGCACTTTGTGTTTTTTACACTTTTTTAACAATCGAGAGACTTTCTGTAAGTAAGAATTCCATTGTACCAGTACATGTACCAGTTAGATATGGTAATAAAGTTCAAGTTCAAGGTCAAAATCATTTTGAAGCTGAGAAGAGCTCCATACTCATGAGTCATTCTGAAAGTAGTTTGTGTTGTCATTATTATTAACCTACAAACAAATATTATTATTTCTTAGGCTAAAGCATTGTGCCTCACAGTGCTGGGGACCTGAGTTCCATTCCTGTGGTGCTATCTATGTGGAGTTTGCACGTTCTCCCACAATTTGTATGGCTTTCCTATGGGGGCTCCAGTTTCATCCCACATGATGTTAGAATAAATATCTGCTGGTAAAATGGTAAAACTGGCTCTGGTGTGAGTGTGTGTGTGTGTTTGCCCTGCGATTGACTGGTGTCCTGTCCAGGGTGTATCCTGCCTTGAGCCCCTTGCGATCCCGTGCTGAATAAAATAGCAAGAAAAGACACAGATGGATGGATAAAACATTTAGTTGGATTGATGGACTGACAGACTTTTTAGTCTAGGTAAACATTTCTCACAAGCAGGAAAACAGAACATTTTAAATATCAGAGATGTCATATGTGATCATTAACTCTCTCTTCAATGTTGTACCTAAAATGATTCAAAAGAGAAGTTTTTTATTCACATGATTGTCTAAAATGATCCAATTTAATTACAAAATACATTTCTAAGTGCACCTGCAGTACTGTAGGTCTTCAGTCTCTGTGGAGTCCTGATGAGGGAGATTTTTGTATGGGTGTGTAACACTGTGCAAACATATGGGTATTATCGAGGTAGTGTTGACTCAGGCAGTAATAATCTGCTGCATCTTCAACCTGGACTCCTGTGATGGTCAGAGTGAAGTCAGTCCCAGATCCACTGCCACTGAAACACTCTGGGATCCCAGTCTGATGGGTAGTTGCATCATAGATCAGGAGTTTAGGAGCTTCTCCAGCTTTCTGTTGATACCAGGCTAGTCTGTGTTAAGAGTCACATACAGTATGTTCACTGCAGGACTGGTGAGTGTCTGTCCAGGGAGAATAGATTTCACTGCTGGAGTCTGAGTCTCAGTCACCTGTCCACTGGATTCTTGAAGCAAGACTGTTGAGGTGTTACAGCAGCCCAGCCCAAGACAAGCAAAAACAGACATCAGAATAGACGACAAATTAAAATACAGTACATACAGTAATACAAAATAAATATAAAATAAATACATAGTTAGGTGTGTGCAAAATATGCTCACAGTCGCTGTAAAAACAATAAAATATGTGCAAAATGTGCATAGGTATATACAGATTGAGTGTCCTGTAGCGGCGAGGCTTA